AATTTTCGGGGTGAATAGTTGTACGACCCATTCCTTACAAAGAGTTCACACATTCCATGAAACCATCCATCTCGTCATCATCAAAGTTGAGAAAGATGGCCTCCAACGTATCACCAACATTGATTGTAGCACTTGTTTCATCAACAATAACATAGGTCACTAAGTCCACAAAAGAACACACCTCATTGCTATTTGGTTGCCGCATGGACTTGCACACATAGAATACCACTTTTTCATCACCAACCCGGAATGTAAGTTTTCCGACTTCAACATCACAAAGAGCCTTTCCTGTAGCAAGAAAAGGTCTCCCAAGAATAATCGGCACTTCATAATCGACCTCACAATCTAGAATGACAAAATCCGCGGGAAGAATAAATTTATCAACACGAACCAAGACATCTTCAATCACTCCCAAAGGCCTTCTTCATAGTACGATCGACCATTAGCAATCTCATAGAGGTGGGTCTTGGTTGCCCAATCCCCAAAGTCTTGAAAACCGAATAGGGCATCAAATTGATACTTGCCCCAAGATCACAAAGAGATTTAGCAAACTCGGCACTTCCAATTGTACAAGGAATCGTGAAAGCACTGGGATCCTCCAACTTAGAAGCCATTGAATACACTATTGCACTCATTTGATGGGTGACTTTGATAGGTTCAAAATTCCTTGACCGCTTCTTTTCCTCGATATCCTTCATAAACTTGGCATAACCGGGAATTTATTCCAAAGCTTCAACTAATGACACGTTGATTGAGAGTCTCTTCATCATTTGAATGAACTCCTTAAATTGATTCTCACAATTTTTCTTGGCAAGTCTTTAAGGGTATGGAGGTGGAGGCTTAGGCAATGGTGCCTTAGCCTTTTGCACTACCGGCTACGGTATGTCAACAATGTGATTCTTAGACGGGTTCACCTCCTCTTGAGTCTCTTCCACACTATCATCAATATCAATCTGAACTTCATCACTAGGTTGCACCATATTGTTTGGGATCTCTTCTTCTTGCACCACTTGCTCATCATCCAGAAGTTGCCTTTGACTTGAGGTGGGTGCATTCCCATCTCTTTCACTTCTCGTAGTAATGGTCATAACATGACCCGTGTTATTTCCACCCTTTGGGTTTACTACCATGTCACTTAGTAGTGCCCCTTTAGGACGAGAATTTAGAGATTGAGAGATTTGCCCCATTTGAACTTCTAAGTTGCAGATTGATATGTTGTGTGAGGCAAGTTGGGCTTCCAAATCGACATTCTTTTCCATCATTTGCTTGAACATATTTCAATACGCCCCATCTTGTTGTTTGAAGAACTTGGACCATGGGAAGGATAAAGAGGTAGGTTGCTCGGTTGCTGATACATCGGGGGCCTTTGAAAACCCGACCCCCGGTTGCCTTGATTGTTGTTCCATCCGCCTTGATTGTTATCCCCCCAATTTCTTGGTTATTTCCACTCCAATTTCCTTGATTGTTGTTGTTATGCCAATTTCCTTGATTGTTGTTTCCGCTCCAATTACCTTGATTGTTAGAATTTCAGCTGCCTTGATTGTTTTGAGGTCGCCATTATTATTGGTTTGGGCCTTGGAAGTTGTTTTTTTGCCCTTGAAAGTTGTTCACATATTGCACTTTCTCCTCTTGTTCATTATAGGAATCATCTTGCTCAAAACCACTGTCTTCTTGCACATAGTTCTCCACTCGATTTTGCACTTGTGGACCCTTGGTCCTCCTCTTGTTCACCATCATATTCACTCCCTCCATGGCATTGACTTGCTTGGAGTTTTGCACTTGATTTGGTTGGGCCTTTGTTTGTTGTTTCATGGTGGTTGTCAATTCGGCAATGGCTTGCCCATGGTCTTGCAATTCTTTGTGAAGGTGGATCATGTTTGGATCACCTTGTGAAATATTGGCCCACAACTGCCAAGCTGATGACGTTTCCGCTATCTCATCCAAAATCTTACTCGCCTCCGCATAAGGCATAGTCACGAAGTTTTCACCGGCAAGTTGATTCACTACACATTGGTTGGTTGTGTTAATCCCATGATAGAAAATTTGTTGAATCATGTTCTCCGTCATATCGTTGTTGGGACATACCTTAACCATTGTTCTTTAACGTTCCCATATCTCGTGTAGTGGTTCACTCGGCTCTTGCTTGAATGCCAAAATCTCATCTCGAAGTGTAGCCACGTGCCCCGGAGAGAAGAACTTAGAAATAAAAATTTTTGCCAACTCATCCCAAGTGTGAATGGAATGGTTCGGCAATCGTTCCAACCAATCTAAAGCTTTCCCCCATAGAGAGAAGGGAAAAATCCTTAGCCTCAATGCATCCTCGGAGACATTTATTTGTTTGGTCCCCCAACAAGTATCAACAAACCCTTTCAAATGTTTGTACGCATTTTGAGTTGGAGCACCAGTGAAGAAACCCCGTTGCTCAAGCAAAGTGAGCATCATATTGGTGATTTGATAGTTGCCCGCCCTAATACGGGGAGGGACTATTGCACTTGCATATCCTTCATTGGGTAATATCCGATGTGGAGCTGCTCGTGGTAGAGGTGGGGTGGAGTCGGGACATTGTCATGAGGCATTCGGCCTCTTCTATTGGCTTGAGGTTCAAGAGGAACCTCCTCAACTTGCTCATCCTTGATGTCCACATCCTCAAAGGCAAATTTTTAAGTTCATTGTTCGCCATGGTTGTACCTACGATTTCTCACACAAGTTAGTAACACGGAAGGAAAAGAAGATATTCCAAAAACAAACCCAAATATATAGCTAATACCGTTTTAACTCCCCGACAAAGGCGCCAAAAATTAATGACGTGCACAACACACCTTAATAAGAGATATATTACGGTCGTATGCAACAATAATTACCAAACTATGAGTCGGGATCGAATCCAATGGGAGTTATAAGGGGTGTCAGGAGTATATATTTGAAGCAAGCGAGTGGACTACCTAAAATACCACTTCCACAACAAAGTTTATTTCTACTTCTACTATTACTCTAATGATTGCAAGCTAAGGTAAATAAACTAGAGATGAATATTTTTGATGTTTTTCCAAATAGTTTAAAGGCATAGGGATGTGACCATAACCTAGGTGTTTGCCTATTGGTATAAAGACTTTAATACTTATTTTGTTGATTGGGTGTATTATAGCTCTCAACTCTATGTTACCCACTCAATATCTCTCGGTCAAGAGTGATTTTGCCCAATTTGGCTTTCTCAAGTCCAAATGGGTATCAAACAAAGTAGTTGATATGAGCTCAAGTCGGGTTCTTACTATCTCTAGTTTCAACCATTTAATTAGGCTAATCAATATCTCAATTAACCCAATTCCTTGTTAGCTAAGTTATCCTAGACTAGGTCCCTCTTTCTCAAGTAGAGAATTGTTAAATATGCATGAATCAATATGTGCAACCATTAATTCTCAAATTGAAGCATGGACTAAGCTAAATAATCAACACCCAATCATAAACAAACATTAGATTAAATACACACAAGGTTTACACATTAGGGTTGGGTCACAACCCTAGTAAAAATCTAGCTACTCATAATGGGAATTGAAGAAACTAAAGAAGAAAAGTTAATTAAACTCATAAAGAAAAATTTAAATGATGAAATCTAATGTTTAAACACTAAAATAATGTAAAACTTCCTAAAGTAGTAAAAAGAAACGGCTACAACAACTTTTAATGTTCAAAACTTGACCTAAATTTGTGAATCTCGTCTATTAATACTGGGCGAAAAATTACGGATAAAAATGCCCATCGGGAGGTTATGCGGCCGCACAACTCCATGTGCGGTCTGCAGATTTCTTTAGTTGGCAGGAAGGAGGATTCTGCGGCCGCACATTTGTGTACTGCGGCCGCACAATTCTTGTGCGGTCCACACTTCTGCAAGGTGTAAAGACTTGGTCTTCTGCACATTCTCTGAACTTGAAAATACTTGTCAGTGCAGACCCTGTTTTGTGGCCTCACAATTCATGTGCAGTCCGCACATTTGTCAATCTTCAGTTGGACTTTTTAGCTTGGATTGCGGCCGCAGATGGATTCTGCAGTCCGCAATTTCTTATGCGGCCGCAGAATTCCTTCTGCGGACCGCACATTTTTGCTTCTGCGCCCTTTATTGCCTTGTGCTTCAGAACACTCCTTTTTGAGTTAGATTTCATCATGGGAGACCAAACTTCTAGCATTCCTGCAATTTGTATAATTTTATTAGTTTCGGGAACACAATTCAATACTTCTGGACTAGAACAAAAGGTAAAAGGTACTAATAAGCACTTATCATCCAACATCATCAAGTCACATTCATTGTCTTCTCAACAAAACCTTAGGTTCAAGAAAATATTTTGACATGAAATATTTCACTTCAATAAAACTTAATTATAAAAATTAAAGATCAAAATACCACTAGAATGTAACTATGTTTATTAATCCGTTATTGTTCATTTATTAGAGTTATTCTTTCTTTCAATTTCTTATTTTGTACCAATAATGATTGGATATGTGCTTTCAAGCATGTGTTTATCCCAAAAATTCAACTTTCACCATAAAATGAAGGATATCTCTTTAATTCGTCCAAAAATAATTGCACGTATGCTTGTGTATTACAATGACGATAAATAAAACACATAGCCAAATAATTTCAAATGTTGGATTATACTGGTGCAATATATTTTATTACATTGATTATTATATATTGCATTTTTCAAGAGAGATATCAATGTCGACAACAAGAGTTCAAATAACAACGCATATAAAGTATCTACGAGAACAAACACCAAAAACATCATATATAAAAAAGTATTAGGTAAAATGTGATTATATTTTTTATTTCTATATTATAAGTACATATATCATTCACGTGTTAGAAGATGATATCGAATCATTTTAAATTCAAATATTATAGAAGTGTATTCCCATTTGAAGATTGTTATATTTTCTTCCACATCTTGTTGCAGTCATATACATAATATTCTAAGTAAATTTAATATTTGGTTCCTTAATTTATGTAAAAATTGATTGAGAATCTATGTGAAATGTATGAATATCAAAAAATTTAGTGATCGAACATCATAAACACAAAAAAGAAAGTGTGTTTTATATATTACACGTGTCTTTTGGCATAGCCACCATCCAAAGAGCTCTGTCCCAAATACTTGAATTCGTACACAGCAAGCACTCTCTCAAGAACTGGAAAATCGAAAATCGCTACTTCAATGGCGTCGACGAAACGTGAATCATGTATAAGTGATGAACCTGAAGCCAAGAAAGCAAAGGTTGAAGAAGGGCCATCACAGCTTCCAGTATCCACACCCCGTGTGGTCCTTAACCCCGCCGACTGTGACTTAGGCAAGAACATCACACTCCCTTTTCTCTCTTCGTTTTTATTTTAATTTATTTTTTGTGACATTAAATTTTGAATTCTCACTTCTTTGTGATATACTTCTCTTGTTACAAAATTTAGAACTCTGTATATGGCTGTATCATGTTTGTATTTTTGGTTAACTAGTTTCTATTGGTTATGCGGTACATTAATGCTAGGGTTTGGCTTGGTGTGGTTGGTATGATTACATTTTTTTTTGTTTTCAATGGATGGTAATTTAAGTGTGGAAAGATGTTCTCCGGAATCTTTTTTGGCTGAGGCAGGATTTTTACAAGGGGCATTTTCATTTTCAAAATTTTTTTACCAAGGGAATTCCAATAAAAAAAAGGAATTACACGTGAAGAAGCTAGCTAATTCAATATCTAATATATATACATAAATAAAAGTAACCTTATATATACGCACATGGGCGAAGCCACCTTTAGCAAAGGGTGGTCAACTGACCACCCTTCCCCGAAAAATTACGAAAAATTATACTGTGTATATAAGTAAAATATTGATTTTAGATATATAAAACCTATATTGAACACCCTTTGTCGGAATTTTTTTCTACTTCTTTCAAGTTTGAACACCCTTGAAAACATTTCTGGTTTCGCCACTGTATACGCAGTGTAACCCATGGGTTTAAAGATAGATGCCTTAGGGTTGTACTAGAAGTGGAAGATGGGCATGAGGGTTGGGTTTTAGTTATAGTTTTGAGTAGAAATAGGTAGGTGATCAGTTGCGGAATCAGAAATTTTGACTAGTGGATTGAAAAATATACAAATATGCCACATCTGGAACTTGAACTTGTACTTCTCTTATGTTAAGGGGATTCAAAGATTTGTACAGGTACACTTTTTTTTTTCTCTATTTGCATAGTGTAGTTTTCCAACGTATCCCCTTCATTGCATGTGGTTCCACCACTGTCGATAATTATGTTGGGATCAAACGTATGGAGTGAGAGTGGAGACTTCATTATAGAAAAACAACTTGCTCTCATATCTAACACTTCGCCCATCCCAAAATATTTGTCATATTTTCAGGAAATCAGTTTAGCTCTTCATTTTAACAAAAACTTTACGAAAAAAGAATACTAGGATGTGACACATTCGGTTAAAAGAATCTCCTTATAGCCAAGCATTTATTGAGAAAGATTAATAAGCTTAGTGGCTTCCACTACAATGTTATTGCTTCAGTTCAAATTCATATAACGTCTGAATTTTACACTTTGATGTAGTGTTTTGCTCCATCAAACTAAGGAATTTTAATTTTTCTCTGGTGTTTTCTTTATCAAAGCAAACTTTTTAAATTATTTTTCCCCACTAACACTGATATAATACGTAATCAAATTAACACACTAAACTTCCAGTCTAACAATCTCATATAAAATGGGACAAAGGGAGATACTATATATTTCAACAAAGAAAATGTTATCTATTATCTCAAACAACCTATCACTTGAGATTAATTTTGTCAGTTTAATTTTGTCATCCTTGATGTTGTGCACATTTTTTTCGAACAAAGCTAAGTTATGAGGTTTGAATAGTGAACTTAGAAAAATAACAAGGTATGAAAAGAGAACTAGGAAAGTAACCATTCTTAATATGGCTGAGTGCAAAAAGATAAAGGGTTAAGGTGGAAGTCCGGAGGTAAAACATTAAGGATAAAAAATATATGTTCTTGGACATTTTTTTAATATTTTGTGATATGCATCACTAATATTAAAAGAAGAATGTATCTAGAAAATGAGTAAAAGAAGAATGTGTTCTAATGTCAGATGTTATATCACCTTAATGTATTGCTTATGTCAGTAAGTCATCCAACACAAGTAGTCCCCTGTTTTCAAGTATTTTTACATGATTTAAATAGTTAAAGCTTAACTTCGGTCTTGTAAATGTCTGCAAATCAGATTTTTGTGAAAAAGTGGTCATAAGAACGGGTGAACTTTCAATTTGAGTTTCATCTTGTTGACTAATTTTTGTTCGTATGACAATATCAAATTCTCTGGTGTGGGATAAACCTGTTGGATTCTTTCATGGTGTCATAGTCTCCTCTTTGGTTTTCCTGTACTTGGGGTTTTATAATCCCGAATCACAAAATGTCAAAGTTGAAAGATGGAATTTTACCAAGGTTTGACACAGGTCGCCTTTAAAGGCATGAATTCAGTCGTTTAATGTGGATAAACACTAGTGCTTGAAACTTGGAGAAGTTGTATCATGGTATTAACTTTTAAAGTGTGAGTAATCATAGTCAATTTTCTTTTTCCTATGATGGGGCATATCGGCTGGCAAGGTGCTTAATGGCTGAATGGAAAGATTTCAGTAGTCTGTTTGGACTTTAAATCTGCCATGAAAAGTTACTATCTTGAACTATGTTTATGAAACACTTCCAACAGCTTTTGGTTATGTAGATCTATGCTTATGGAACTCAGCTTTGTCTTAGATAGATTCTACTAGTTGTTGACACAAGTGGCTATATTGGGTATGGGAACTGAATGGTCAGGAAATTTTTTATGAGCAATCTTTTATGGGAACATGAGAGCAGTGTTATCAAAGGGCGAAAAATGCAAAAAAGCTCTAAGGTCCGCAGGGGCTTTACGCGCAAATAACATGTCGGCTTTAATGAAGAAAGGCGCAAATGGAGAAAATACTACAAATATGTATGCGTAGTCCAAGACTAATAATTAGAAACATGAATAACAATACAAGGACAAAGAAATTGAAAAAAATAAATAAAATAACGATGAAGTGAAAAGAAATTGAAAAAAAAAATTAACGATAACGTGATATATCAATTGTTTAGTGTCGCCTCTTCGAGAGCACGCTCATTGGCAAGGAAAGTATGCCTTAGAGCCTTGATGACGACACGGAAGAACCGCTAAGCGAGGCGAAGTGCTCAACATGCTTTGCGCATCACTTCATGGCTTAAGCGCACTTAAAGCGCACCTTTGACAACACTGCATGAGAGCCGAAAAGAACACGAGTATTCGATAGATATATACAGTGTACAAATACTAC